CGTTACTAGCATGGGGTACCTAATAAAGTGGCCGGTGAGTGTATATGCGACTTGTATGTGATATCCTGTGTGAACTGCAGTCATACAACACAAGTGTCCCGCATGTGCAGTAGAGGACGCAATGACATCACAGGACAAGTAAGCATGGATGGTAGCGCTGGAGCGCATCTAGCAATATTTCCCAACCAAAAAACACAATAGTTTCAGGATGGTTAAACATAAATACTGCTCTTCGCATCATCGTCTGCCATGGTTTTTGTTTTTCTTGCCGCTTCTTCATAGCAAGACCCAGAATAGTGACCTTTGCAGAGTATTAATGCCGTTCAGGTCGCATGAATGCGGCCTGGGCGTTCAGACACAGGTTGCAGATCAGATTCGTATCGGATTCAGGACCACATAGCCAAGTGGCATAGGTCGCATTGGAAAAAATCGGATCTGTGTTGTTCAGACTGTCGCATATGAGCCAAAAAAATTGGATTTGGGTCACTTCAGGCTGCAGTGTGAACATAGCCTTAAAGTCTATAAAAAACCTATTAATGGACAGCACAATCTGACAGGAATTAGTCATAAATGCTCACCATAAGCAACTGGTGTCAACTTCAGCACAGTGTGCAGAGGACACTTGAGGTAGGGCAACTCATCTGTGAAAAAAAGAAAGGTTTAGTCAAGCCTCTGTTTATATACTTCACATATATACAGTACCTTACAAAATTATTTATATTTAAGCTTTGCCTCTATGGAGTAGCTACAAGAGGAAAGTCACCATAGGAGAGGTTTAAAGACATATTTATGGGTTATCAGATCTGATGAGTCTACACGAAATACATTAGGTGTCAGAAAGCTAATGATCCAAGTCATTCTAGAGACACTAATCCTTTATTAGAACTTGAAAGAGGCAGCATCATGCTGAGGGGAAGTGTTTCTTAAGCTGGTCAGAGTTGACCAGAGCTGATCAGTGGAGCTCATTTCTGTATTTCTGGAAGAAATATGTTAGAGACGAGACATGGCTTGAGATTTGGGTAAGAGTTTAACTTCCAGCAGGACAACAGCCTAAATATTTATGCTGCCAGGAATGATTAAAATCAAAAGTTGCTCATTAATTAGACTGGTTCTATCAAAGTTCAAACCGAAATCCTGCAAAAAATAAAGATGATTGATTCCTCAAAGGTTTTTTTAAGGCCAGTGCCGATTATTGTGATAACAGTGTAACCTCTTCCCGATATGTGCTACTGATTTTTTAAACCGGTATTGCCTTTTTAACAAATCCTGCAATAATGATTATTTAAACAAAAAGAAACATATATTAATAAATAAATAAAAACTTTGACAATAGGTGGCAAATGGAGGGAGGAGATACACATGCAGTTTAGGTGATCTAAAGGCAAGTTTTGGCCAATCCCCTGTACAGGAAACATGCTAACATTGGCCCAAAATATAGACCGGCCGCTGTATCAGTCCATTCCTAATTAACAATCTGTGGCAAGACTTTTTTTTTTTTAACCCAGATGCTCTCCATCAAGTAATGATATGGTTTGGCTCATTTACAAAGAATTATGGGTGATTAGACACGACTGAAGGCAAGCACATGTCAGGCTTTCCCGATTTCCAGTTTTATGTTGACCTTTCCTTCTGCTTCTCGATTAAGTTTGAAGGGTAAGAATACTTTTGTAGGGCACTGAACCTCCTTTAACCTGGTAATAACTTTTAAAGACTTAAGCCTGAATTATACTCAGGTGGTCAGCGCGTGTCGCAGTGAACATAGTTATGCCCCAACCCCTTCCGCTGACACTCCGCTGCACCTCTCCCAAATTTTAGGCGCAGACAGGGCCGCAGACAGGAGGCATCTGATTGGTCAAATCTACATCCGCTCTACGCTATGCATATTTCCTTTTTGGTACATTACCAGCTTGTTTTTTTTGTAAGACCTCCATTGTGGAAAACGCCCTGTGAAGTTGGACCAGCTAGAAGAGCGAGGTGCATGAGAATGCTGGGACCCTTTTTTGCACCTGGATCCCTGCTTTTTTTTCGCCCTCATGTCCCTCCATTGTCGCACAAGCCTGCCCTAACTTCCTCACCAATTCGGCCGTATCTAGACCCACAGCTAGTTCCTGATTGTTCCTCTTGCGTTTATGGCGTGGAATAACAGCGCAGACCATTTTTTCAATATTGGGCATAAATAAAAAATATCGGCATCAAGCTCATTGCGACACACTGCTGCAGGGAGGATAACCAGCCCTTTAATCCTTACGTGAAGTCTTGTCCAGGAAATATGCCAGCAAGCATCGCATGACGGCCTGGTGACAAATGACCAGAACATTCTCCTGTCTCTCCAGCTCCATGATCACAGGCTCCAGCCGCTGCACCAGGTCCTCATATGACTAACACAGAATCACAGACAAAATGAACACTCTTGCACATGTTACATCATATCAGGAAACTTATTTTACCGATATAGAAAATCTAGAAAAAAAAAAGAAAGAAAAGAATCACCTCTCCTTTTGGATAGCGGTAGCGGTATTTGTCCTGGTCTCTCATTGCAAACTCCAGAGGGAAATGCTCCTGGATCTCCTCGTACATCATTTCTTCACACACACCCTTTGTTAAAAAACACAAGACATTAAAACGTTGCTTTGAAAAATGATAGCGCATTGAAGTGAGGAGAGCAGGAGTTAACTTACAGCATCAATCTCATTGAGAGATTTCCATTGTTCATATGAAACTCCAAGGCACTCTGCTGTCTGGATGGTTCTCTTCATCTGGCTGGTCCAAACCTTCAAATCCTTAATGTTCTGCTCCTCAAGGAAATTCCTCAAGTGTTTAGCAAACTAGATGATTAGAAATATGAAGACTTAGATTAAACCACATGCAGTTTATACCCCTTGAAAAACAAAGAAATTGTAATTATGAAAAGAAGGGAAATGGTACCGATTCGAATGCTGAGCTTGCTTTTTATGCAGCTAATGCTGCAGGTATTTTTGGGAGTCTGCCAGCTTTCAAGATGTAGAAACTGAAGTAATTTTTTTTTTAATGGCTCAAGCACATATTGAACTCTAAACTGGACTCTTATCAACTCGCAACATTACTTTGCATCACCAACATGGCTGAAACTTTTATAATCCTTTTAAATAGGACACAACTCAATGTTATACTGCATTTTGCAACATGTTTATTATATTTTGCAGGTCACTGAACCTTTCCATATTAATGCACTTTTGCACCATCATTTTTTTTTACTGGTTTTCCTTTGCTCCTATATTTATTACATAATGATAATTTCTGCACTTCAAATGGTAATGTTCATTTCACGGTTGTAAGTTGCTTATATCGCTGCTGTAAGCAACGTAATTTTGTTTCGTCAACACTATATGTAAACAAGATGACAAAGGTTGTCCAAGTCTAAGATCTGCATTAGTTGCAGAGAAAAATCCCCATTAAACTGTTTCCACACATTCCCATTTGGACTTAGTTCAGAACTTTGATTAGTCCATTTTTACCAAATTAATATACTTTGAATTTCAACTATTCCATCATAGCTTTGGTTATTTTACATCGACTTAATTGTTATCTGCTATCCTCTGTTAGTCTACATGATAAAGTCCCAAGTTCAAAATGAGAGAAGTTATAATTGTTTCAGCTACATATATGGAAACACACCTCTTTTCCCCTGGAAGACAAGCCAGAGTCTCCTCCAATGCGTCCCTTGATGTTAAGGTCACTCTCACCATGGCGACAGAGGTAGATGGAGCGTGGAGTGATGTGGATATTCATCAGGTAGTAGACGATTCGGCTCTGGATGTGGTCAACAACACGGTTCACCATGTACCGACGGCCCACATCCATGATCTTTATGTAAGACACGTCGCTGAAAGCAGAGCAGGAGAAAATAGGTTAGAATCTCTCAATTTTTAGAGGATTTCACCATCGGGTTGTTTTTCTCCTTTTTTTTTTTTTTTTTTTTGTTTAAGCATCTTCACCTGTCCAGATCTTCATCCAGAGGCTGGTAGGAGGTCTCGTAACACTTTATTCTCTCCATGAAGTCTTCGATGGCCTCCTCTGAACTGCAGTTAATGTAGTCTGGGTTTCCCAGCTTCACTTGCTTTAGAAGGAATGCAGAACATGTGAGCGAAAGATGTCTGTTTCACATTGATTTTTATCTAATGATAAGCACCACTGTAGAGAACTTAATATTATTAGATGGAAACAAAACTAATCAAATTCGATGCTTACCACGATATTCTGTGCAATGACCTCTGGGTCTTCACACACAGATTCCACAAAAAACACCTGCAATTAGAAGAAAGCACTGTAAAAAAAAAAAAAAAAACGGTAATCACTTTAAGGTTGGACGGGAAAATCTTCATTCGATCATACTTTGAAACCGTTCTGTTCAGCAAACTTCATAATGGTTCCTCTTCTTTCCCTGGTCGTGTTTGTGGCATCAAACACCTAGAACAGTGAGGAGTGTCGTCGTTACTGCAGCGCTTTCACATGTTTTCTTGAGGAAATTGGGTTAAAACGGAGGGACTTACAGCAACCTGTCCTCCTTCAACGCTTAGGTACTGCCGCACATCGTTCAGCGCCGACATTGCACACTGACTGTGAAAGGGCACAAGGAGTGTTACTGCTTGTAGTTTACAGGAGATTATTTTTCAGAAAGAAAAGAACTTGATTTTGACCTGCCATTTCCTTTATTAGACAAACTGATGGTCATATGTTAAAGTAGAATGTTTCTATGTGGATGTGTAAGAGAGTTTGAAACTCAAAGTTGGTCCAGAAGCCACAAGGGAAAAAAACATTTGAACTCAAACATCTTTACATTTGTTAAAGAAAAAAAAAAATCCAAATAGAGAAATCAAGCCCAGCAGAGTAATTCTTCACAGTGTTTCTTCACTGCATGTGTTGTTTTAAGTAGACCTATGTAGCCTGATTAAACTTACCGTCTGATTTTAACGCCCTCTTCATTATCTGGACGGAAAAACTCAAAGGACTTGTAGATCTTCAGACACTCTCTCCGATAATCCCCAACGTTGAACTCTGAAAACCAGACAGTCACATTTAAATAAAAAAAGAAAAACCAAAGAGCTGCTCTCCGCCTTAACGTGTTGATATGTGTCTGGAATGCTGCTCATACCTTTGGTTGGCACACCTATCCAGTTCAAGTAGCGGGTGAGCTTTTTGGAAATGTACGTCTTTCCACGGGCAGGAAGTCCCACAGTCACGATGAGCGTTGGGCAGTTTGTCATGCAAACTGAGGGGAAAAAAGAAACAAACACTTCATGAACATGGTGCAATACTTATGACTAGATACGTTAAATGTACAGTTTTGTTTTGTTGTTTAAGTGCACACCAATTTCCCCTGACACTTTCAATTTCTGCATCTCAACCACTAAAGTTATAGCTCAGATGTTAAAAGTATATCAGTGGCAGAGTGTAATAGCCCATCTAACTGGATTGAGAAGTTCACCATGCTCATATTCCTGTGATGGTTGGGTTCAGATAATGTCGTGCAGCTCTAATATTCAGCCATGTCTTGTATTTACAGAGCCAGTTCAAGGTGTAAACAAACTTAGGAAGGGTGTCCATGGAGCCCTTGATTGAAGGGAAATGAGAAACCCTTAAATTATGTCCTAACAGAATGAGACCTTTTAACTTTGATTGAAATTTCAATCATAAAAATAACCTCCATTTTATTTTTATTGTCTTTATTTAGGATTAGAGCAAGGATGAAAAATTGTAAATTATTACAAGCTCAACACATTTTTTTTGTGTCTAGTTATATTATTTCTTTTTTTCAAATAAGTTTTATAATTTACTTATTAATTTATCAGTTTTTTTTTTTTTAGAAACTGCAGCATTTTGTTGATTTAAATGTGTAGCAGAAATAAACTTTGAAGCGATTTGATTGGTCAGTAGTTTCTGCTCCAGCTGTGTCTGTACCATTTCTAACCGACAATAACCCGCATGATAAAAAGACCACTTTCCACGTCTGTTTGTGATTTAAACCAATTAAATACCTTTCCAGAGTGTCTGCATTGAAACCCTGTTACCTAATGGAATAAGTCAGAGGAGTTACCTCACCCAAGGAAGTAGTTTGTGGCTAATTACTTAATACGTTGTGTGATGGGAATAATTTGGAGGTTAAGCTATTTAAATGCTGGATTGCACGAGAATCATAGAATCAATTAGCTTGATAAATGCATCATAAAACGATTAAATTCACCCTGGATACTTTAAATAAAAGAGGTTTAACACAACAGGGTACTTAGCGTGTTTATGTCTCCTTTTGGACGACAAATAAAAAAAAAAAAAATTTGAAGTAATTTTAGCTATCACAGTATACATGTAAGATTAAATAATACTACTTATACTTCAGCGATAGTATCTAGGTGTTACTTTATTGTATGTCTTATATTATATCTGTTGGTTGTGCTGTTCTTTTTACATCTCTTTGTAGGTGATGAAGCAGACTGAACATGTTTTATCGTTATTGCCCTTTTATCACCTCTTTCTCTCATCTTCTCTCCTTTTTTTCTGTTTTCCTTTCCTGTTCTACTTAAATTGCAGTATCCATATAATCTGTAATACTCCTTGCATGAATTATAATAAAGCTATTTATTATAATTCATGCCAGGAGTGTTGTTAAGTAAAATCTGTTGGGCTCTTTTTGGCATCAAGACAATTAGTCTTATTGCTACATTCCCAGACAGGACACTGTCTGAAAAAAAAAAAAGAATTCATGTCAGGGAAAGATCTGGGGAGTTTTTATTGTAACAACAACATAAACAATGACATTCAAGTGTTTCTTTCTAATTTGTTTTAAATGTGCTGATCTCAGGCAGTAAAAAAAACAAACAAACAAACAAACAAAAACACAGCTACTAATAGCAGATGCAAAGAAAGTCACTGCAGGTTGTCACTGTTGAAATTCTAGGTGATTCATTAAAACCTATATTATCATCAGGGATGTAAATCACACCCATCATGGCGATTCGATTCAGTATCAACTTTCTGACCCAATGATTCAATCATTTTCGCTACTCAATAATACACCACGATCCGATTCGATTTATTTATTTTTTTCTTTTTACCTTACAGGCTACCAGACAATGTTGCAAATTTGAAATAAATCAATGAAAGCTTTTATATCGTTATGCATTTTATTTGAGAAACAACAGCAAATAACAGAAGTAGCAAAGTTGTACTCCACCTAGGCCTATAAAAACCTCGTTCAGTAAAAAATAATAATCCCTCTGTCTTTACGCGAGTGTGTGCAAGCGGAAAGAGGGTAGATTCAAAAACATGAATCGATACTGTTACGGACGTGTTGATGCATCGGATCGTCGGCTGTTGGATCGATGCATCGATACAAAACAATTAATATTTACATCCCTAATTATTATTAAAAAAATTTTGGGGCTGTTTGTTTATACAATGCTGCTCATTTATATTTATTCTTATTTATTAAGAATACTTTAACCTGATTGAATTTCCAGGTGTTTAACTTTTAATCTACTTATTTATTTTGATTGTATTTCTATTTTTACGGGTAAATTCAGCAAAGCTCTTTAAAATGATAAATGATAATAATTACTCATACTCATAACTGTCTCCTTTTTCTGATATTTAAGCATTTTAACTTTCAACAATGTCCTTTCAGAATCGGTGAGTCCGGTTTTGCCCCCCAAAAGGGGCGTGGTTTTAGGGCGGCGGAAGTGACGTGATTGGCTGGCGAGGGTAAACAAGTGGGACCCCTCAACTACAATTTTGCCCATGTAGAAATAGTATTTTCTGATAAGGAATATTAGATCGATTCTGGTAGTTATTAACACAAAAATATTATAAATCCTAAAATTATTTCCATCATCTTGCATTTTTAAGTTTTAAGTTTTCTCCTTTGCATAAAATAGTTGCAACGAGTGAGACGTTTGGTGCCAAAGTTAAAGGCAGGACGGGACTGGGTGCAGCTTGCAAATCAAAAAAAGGAAAGTAGAGGAAAGCAGAGCTTTGAGTCAGATAAAGAGCAAGCAGCCGTGAGAGATTAAAGAGCATCTGCCAAGTCTCACGCCCATACAGGTTAGATCTGGTTAAGCCTAAATTACATTTCTGAAATGACTTCCATTCTTATGTCTTTCCATGGAAGCATAATTAGTGTGAACACGGATTAGAAGAGCAGAGCATGATGCAACACTTCCAGTTTCCCACCTTGGATCGTCGAAATGAGTTAAAATCTAGTTTTCTTAAGGGAAATAAACATAAAACTAAAAGTAAGGGCAACTGAAAAACAATGTCTGTCCCAGTCGCATCCTGTGTTGGCGCACTTGCCGCATCTCTTACCCCGTCTGTGCGCAATGTGCCCGTTTTTATGCGGCATCCAGATCTTCTTCAGCGGGTTCTGGGTAAGCTCCCGCGGGTGGTTCTCTAAGCGATGATCCTCGTTGTCCAACATCCTGTTTCTTCGATTATCAGAGCTAATCTCCTCTCTGCAAACGGAGGCGGTGAGCTGCTGTCCTATTCAGTGCTGACTGAAGGAGGCTGCAGCAGACTGGATGCCTCATATCAGCTGAGAAACAGCAGTTTCTCCGTACCGTAAGAAGTGGAAACAGAGCGCAAGGGGAAAAGGCGAGGAAGAAAACAAGCCGTCTATGTCACACGTGTTCGGGCCTGGTCCCATACTTTACAATTTAGGTCAAACTAAAACTTTGATTTCCAATTATTTATAGACTCCAAATACTCTTAATTAGGTTCCTGTTCTATAGATACATAGTTTCATTGCTGATGAAGGCAGAAGAAAATCAATACTTCATGAATTTGTGATTAAAATCACAAGCTTTAACTATTCCTCAGTGCCAGATGCGTTTTTCACTTTTAAGTCCCAGTTGAAGGATTAATTTTGACCAACATTTTGATTCAAACTATATCCAACTCTTAGATGCTGAGGGGCTACAAATAAATTGATAGAACATTTTGTACTTGAGGAGAAAAAAATCTGTTTTGTTATGATTTTGTTTTTGATTATGACACCATCTTTAACCATTTAACAAAATGTTCTCAAAAACCTTCGCATTTCCAGGAGGTTTTCCCAAGAAAACATACTTTGAAACGCTACCGTAATGTCTCTGAATCGATCGCCAAGCAAATTAAGCGAGAAGAAAAGAAGCGTTCTGTTGCTCACATGGTACACACATGGACACCGAATGCAACTCGGAAATCAGCCAATCAGAGAACGGAGCAGAAACTCGACGGCCAATAGAAGAGGAGGGGGGATGAATGGTAGGCGTGCTGCCTGTAGAAGACCCGTGTAAACACATCCACATGAAAACTATAAGTCTCTGCTTTTACACGACCTTTTCACGGGCCTCACAGCGTTTGCAACACATTCTTGGTCAGCAACTTATGGCACGCACGCTCTACACTTATGCAATAGAAAGACAGTTATGGTGTAAACACATTCCCTTTCTGCTATCAGCAGACAAGTAAAAAACAAAAATAGATTGTCTGCCCTTTTTTTTCCTAACATACAGGTTGCAGGTCATTGGGTTTATGAAAGGAAGTGCTGCATCCATGCGGTGTGTCTGCATTTTAGATACAAGCCTAATGCAATTCAAGAAATGCCAGTGTCTTAAAGAGTCCTCAACAAAAATCATCAAGATGTTCAAGTTACATAAAAAAAGCAATCAAAAACATCAATTGGGAGTTTATTAAAATATATTTTGGAATGTTCAAACCACAAAGATCCATCCATCAATTTTCTGACACGCCTAATCTCAATTGGAGTCAGGAGGGGTGCTGGTGCCTATCTCCAGCTGTCTACGGGTGAGAGGCGGAGTACACCCTGGACAGGTTGCCAATCCATCGCAGGGCAACACAGCGACAAACAGCCATTCACACACACACTCACACCTAAGGAGAATTTAGAGAAGCCAATCAACCTAACAGTCATGTTTTTGGACTGTGGCAAGAAGCCGGAGTACCAGGAGAGAACCCATGCATGCACACAGAGAACATGCAAACTCCATGCAGAAAGACCCAGTACAGTGCAGTGCTACCCCCTGCGCAGCCCATAAAAATAAATATCATACAATATTGTGAAATGCATGGGATGATGGTTTTTAAATATACATTAAAATGGGGAATGTATATGCCTCAGAAGCCATCATATGAGAAAACAGAGTACATACATGTGTTATATGTGTTATTTATCTCAGCATCAAAAGAGTTGTTGAGTAAAGACCATGCAAGCCCTTTCAGACAACATTATGGAGCAAACAGCAACAAGGAGCAAAGCGCTTAGATCTCAGGGGCCACGACGTTTAAAGCAGAGAGGATACAAACTTAGATTCTAATCTAAGCTCCTTTTGTTTTGTTTTTTTTTTCTGTTTAAGCAGAGACAAGGAATAGTTGGTCGAATATGGAAGGAGATTAAAACAGGGCAGATATGAGACTAGGGTGGCGGTCACCTTTGGTCAGAAAATGAATTGTACTAACCAGGCCTACAGGGTTCTATTTTAATATTACTGTGCTTTTTAAAAGCATTTTTTTTCTAATACTTTTCAGTTCTGCAGTATTTGTCTATAAACCTAATCAGTGCTTACTACACAATTAAACGGTGGATTCTGCTGTTGAATTTTCTAAGTAACAGATACAGGCCTTTGTCATCATAGCACTTGCTCTGATATAAAAGGAACTTCATAGAGTCATCATGTCCTCCACTGCCTTGGCAGCAGCAGCTTTGAGGCTGGAGGCACAAACTATAAAGGCTCCAACTCATTGGGTACCAGAAAGCTTCCCTCAACCTCCTGTGATCAAGAGGATGAAAAATCCTCAATGGACAGGTGGTAGTTAAGCCACCAAAAAAAAAAAAAAAATAATAATAATAATAAATCCCCCAACTCAGATGTTTAAGTGTAACTCACGCATTAAACCTCGACTCACAGCTGCCATGAAATAGGCTTGAAGTGATGTCTTTGATTGGCTAAGCCAATGCAGAGGCCTAAATTCCATAGACAATCTAAGGTAAGACTTTTAACTTCTCCAGACATCATGGAGTCTGGCTAAGATGATCAGGCTACTCTATAAAGAATAGTGTTTCAAAAGATGCCTTATAGATGTGCAAAGACAGACTGGATGGATAAATGTCAGTGAAAGGTTGTACTGAAAAATATTGACACATGAGTGCATGCCAATCAGTTTAGATTTTATTTATAAATAAAGTAGTCACTGACTAATACATATTTTTTGTCCATTGTTTAAAAAAAAATGTAATTGGCCTAAGGGCATTAAGGTGTTTGCCGATTCATTGATGTATTTAGCAGCTACACCTTGAGATCAGGTAAGCCATTGTCTTAATTTGGTTTCATTGTTAATGTTTCCTTTCATTTATGAATAAACCTTTATTTTGTGTAAACTGAGATGCATGTAATTATTCTTGTCATGTAAACGAAGAAAAAAAAACAACTTTACCCTAAAAAATCAGCAGCACATATTGTGGATAGATTAGACTGATGTTCAAAGGGTGTGAATACTTGTGTAATTGTATGTTGCTCAATTTTAAAATGTTGATTATAAAAAAGTTCAATATTTCTGGTCAATTTGTAAATACAGCAAATTGATCTAACAAAAACTGTTTAAGTTTGACAACTAACCATCAGTATTCTTACTGATCAACATAGATTGAAAGATGTTCTATATTTTGTCAGTTAAAGGATAAATAAGGAGCCTGGGCAATAAATAATGACTGCGCAGTTCCTTTAAAAAAGCAAATAGAGGTCTCGCTACCCTGCGTGACAGTCACGGGATCAAATCCTCTGTCAAGTCAACTGGTTCAGTGAAGAAAACATCCTGTCCTTTTGGGCTACTCTGCTTTGTTTTCAACTTGCAGGAAATCCAATGTAGTACTGGAGTAAAAACACCAGGGGGCGGTGTGTAACTACACTTAAAAACCACTCAGTTCACAGGCTGATCAAATCTTTGTTATCAACTCAGCTTCTTGTTGTGAAACAGACTGAGACGGAGATCGAGGGGTTAAGTAACAGTAAGCCAGGCAGCAGGACTGGTAATCCACTCAATTCACACTAGGACCTCTCAATAAACCCAAAACACACACTGACATGGTCTCTTTACCTACTGACAGGGGAATTTGTACGTTTGTGTACATCTAGCGTTTGTTTTAAAGGCTTTTATTTTAATAATGCCTAAATAACTGAATCTAGATCAAAACACCACATAAATCCAACATTAGCATTCCTTAAAGGTATATTGGAGGATATTCTTTTTCCGGGTGGATCATCAAAATAAGTGGTCCTCCTAATTGTCAATCATTCTGTTGACACGTTTGAGTAAGGCCGTCCTACGTGCCCGTCCCAATTTTCTCTTACTGGTGGTGAGTGACAAAGTGGAAAGATTGCAAATCTTGTAAAGTAAGCTTGTGTGAGCGATGCAAACAGCAACTTTTAAAGAGAGCATGCAAGAAGAGAAATGGGCTTGTGCACGCTTTCGAACATGTTTAATTAGCATTCCCTTTCGGTAGTGGGTACAGGGTTGTGCATGAGCATTTCTTTTTTAAGTTGAGTGGGTGGGTGTTTTCAAAAATTTGGGAAAAACCTAAACTATATCTTTAAATTTGTCTAACTATAGAAACGTATAAAAGATGTCATGAATTTTTATCAATAATATATTTTCTAATATGATTTTTGAGATGAAATTATCTCCAGATGTCAACAATAGCCTAAGTAATCCACACAGATAGGGAAATCAACACAGATAAGTCCATTCTTTGGACACAAATAGCACCTAATATATAGAGAAGAAAGTCACAGTCATTGCTCAGTTGTGATTGTGACCCATTATTTCACACATTTAGTCCCAAAATCTTCAAGGTTTTGGCGGGCCTATCATTCTCACCCTGACGTTTGGTTTTAAACATTGATTTTCAATTGGATTCCTGTAGGATCATTGACCTGACACTTTAAAAAAAAATCTTTAACCAGTTTAGATCTTCCTTGGCTTTGTGATTGGGATCACTGTAAAACAAACGTGTTTTATCCTTTAGAGTCTTATCAAGAGCAGTCAACAATGCTCTTGTGTAACACAGAGGAGACAATTGTCTCCTCTGTGTTACACAAGAGCAAAAGAAATTATTCAAGATGTGGAGAAGAGATGAGTGGCTACACAGGGTTTATCGTTGGCAGTAAATTTGAGAATTTTGAGTTTTCTAAAAAAAAATTTAAATACCTCAGTGTCCATCATACACATCAGGAGGGAAACTACTTCTGTGTCTCACAAATAAAAAACATTTTTGCTTTAACTGCTGGCTGATTAAGTTTTATTATCTATAATAAAACAATTATTAGGCCAACAGAGGCCTCAAAGCCACTCAGAGGGGGAGAAGACTTTACTGAAAAAGTAAGACAGAGTTACATATAGAAATACAGTCAAAACACCAACCTTTGATTTCTAGAGACATGTCCTTTGGTCATAAGAAAATTAAAATTCTGATCATTTTTACATTTGGAAAAAATGTGGGGCCTTTAAAGCCT